TTTTATCTCAAATCACAAATCTGAAAGAGCACTAAAATCCACAAATCGTTTAGCAATTTTGTGGCTGCAATTCATTTTGATTTGTTCTTTGGTTTTACCTTCCATTCATACCCCGCCCCCCAACACTCCTCTGCAGCCAACCCTCTTCTTGCCACCAATCTGCCATTTCAGAGACAATCTTGCGGCTGTTAACGACAAATGACATTCAGAAAGCTATGAATTTTATGGGCAGAACCAGAAGAACCCCTCTCGCAGCATGAATGAAGAGGATTCTACCAGTCGATTGAAAGGAGCCGGGCGGGGGGGACTGTGGTGGAGTGTGGTTCCCAGTCGAGTGCAGTAGATTCTGTGGCAGGTTATGCGGGTGCCCCATACACCAGACCCCCTAGATCCCAGACCCCAGCAACAACTTACCCGCGCAGAAACCACCGTCTCTCTGAAAGCAGGTTTCACCTGCCTCTAAAGCAGCCTTCAGCCGCTGTACCTCTTTTGCCCCTTGCCTCGGCCCCTGCCTCTGCCTCTGCCTCTGCCTCTTGCCACCTCCTGTGCGTCTCCTCTGCGGCGACTGTGCTGTGGTGTAATTAATGCAGCAGCAGCTGCGCTTTGCCTTCACTCCCCCAGCCCTGCCCTGCCCCGCCCTGCCCCACCACTGTGGTACGAGCCTTATCTCCGTGTGGCAGATCGAACAAGAAAAGAAATCTTTTATAGTCTTTTGCGGTTTGTCTTTGAGTCACATTTTGGCATGCATTTGGCATCGATTTAGAAACGCTGCTGTCCCGCCCGATGCCCCGATGCCCCGATGCCCCGATCCCCAATCCGATGCAAGATCCGAGTGGCACCGAGTGGCGGCTGGTGGCATGAGTGGTGCGTGAGTGTGGGAATCTCATGTGTCCTCCCTCTGGCTGTCTCCCTCTGCTGCGGCGACGGCGGCGACTGCGGGTGCAATGAGGAGCCGATTCCAATCTCCACATTTCTTGGCTCTCTGTGGCGGGCGCTGCCAAACGGAGCGCAACACCCGCCGCAGACGACCGATTGGAATCGGATTGGTGGCTGCTGCCGCCTCCTACTACTACGCTTTGCTGCAAGTGTTTTTCTTCCTCTTCAAGTTTTCAAGCGAATTTTCATGAATTTTTAGTTTAATTTCTGAGATGATGGCGATAAGAGCGGGGCAACCGAAAAAAATTGCATTTCATTTGCCGCACTTGCAGCATCGCATCCGAAATGAATGCAAAAACGACAGCAAAATTGATGAATGCAGCAGCAGAGGCGAGGGGAAACACCTACCAGGGGCGGAAGAAGAAGAAATTAGAGGCAGTAGCAGAAGCAGTAGCAGTAGCAGCGGTGGCATGCAGCATGAGGCATGCAAATACTTGACCAAGAATGCTATTCTCTGCCTCTATCTCTCCCCCTCTCCCTCGCCCTCTTCCCGTGTCATCGTGCCCCATCAGCATCAACATGATGCGAGTTCCGCTCCGTTCTGTTCCTGTCGTGCGGCTCATAAAACGCCAAAAGGAAATGGTTGTACCACAGGGTGGCGGAGCTCGAGACAGGGGATACCCTTTGAGGGCTTTTCTCAAGTGCAACAAAGAAGTATTTATTGGTATTTCCTTATTTCTTCAATCATATTTCTGTCTTCATTATTCTCTTGAAATATGCCTTAAACATATTCTCTTCTTCTGATCTGATACCTGTTTTATAATTCTTTAATTCTTAAACTGAACTTTCATTCCTATTCGACATTAAAGAAATCTTTTCCTACAATAGGTTTCCTTTCTTTAAGGTATAGAAATGTCTTCCTACAACAAATAATAATGGAGGACACACAAATCAATTAGGTAAAGAGCTCTAACGAATGTAGAGCATCATCATTTCCTGCCTTTATGGCGGGTTAATGTATCACGCGTCATACAGCAGCGTCTCTCGGTCAGCTCAAATTTCTGCTTGGGATACGCTCGGCTTCCTAAGAAATATATCAATTATCAACTCTACCAAGAATATACCTTGGATTTGGCATCACAAAGTCTGGAGATGGGTATCCCTATCCAAACCTTCCTTCGAAACCATCATACCCTTTCTTCCTTGAGAAGAGGAAACCCTGAAGAGTCCTGGGTCCAAAAAAAGAGCTTCCAATTTGTGCGGCTTGTCGTAAAGTGTTTCTGTTGTTTTTTCGCCTGCTGCTGCAGGAGTGCAGGCATTCATTTGGTTTTTATGAGCCGAGGACCAACGTCGTCCTTCTGTGTGCCCTGACTTGATTAGAAGCCACGACCAGGTGCCACAAGGCAGGCCAGGCACAGGCAGAGAACAGAGGCAGAGGCCACGAAGCCATGAAGCCATGAAGAAGCCTGCTTAGTCATGTCTTGCTGTGGCATGTCCTTTGTGCCGCTCCTCCCGTGCCGCCGCCTATTCCTGGCTCCTGCTGACTCCTGTTTTCTGTTGATTTACGCGCTGGCTTATTGCTTTTCCTGGCCTGGCCCGAAAGCCGAGCCAGAAGCACCCACAGTGGTGGGACGCAGGAAAGACAAATTGTTTGGGACATTTTCCAAATATTTTGGGCCACGTTAATTGTGCGATTAATCTGGGATTAGAAACTGCTGTCTTCGGTCTGTCGCTTCTGCAGATCGATGGTCTGCGGTATCTTGTGTCTTCTGTGCAGCAGATCGTGTAAATCAGCAATTGGCAACGCCTTTCCCCTCCCCATAAATAATGAGGAGGCTGCTCTCTTTCAGCTGTTTTTCTCTCTGTCTCTCTCTCTCTCTAAGGTGAGTGATGGAGAGATTGCAATCGGGTGGAAGCCACCTGATTGCAGCCGCCTGATCATCGCAGCAGAAGCAGCAGCAGCAGCAGCAGCAGCAGCAGAGGTATAAGAGTTATATTGTGGCATATATCAATATCAAACTGTGCCACACAAAAAACATCAGCAGCCACCTGCATCTGCCACAAGCTTCTCTCCATCTGGAATCTCCAACAGCGGCGCGAAGCCTTTATTAAGTTGTAAAAATGAGTGAAAGGAGAACAAAAGCCAAGCCACAGCGAAATCGGAGTACACTTTGAGGTTTCTCCAAGTAAAAGGCCTTCCCGCAATGTCAGAATGTGGCATGCCCCATCTGGGAGTGAGGGTATTCTGTGCCACAGCTGCTGGTAATTGATTACCACTGCAGCAGCAGCAGCAGCAGCAGCAGCAGTGAGCGAAGGGTAGTCCTCGCCTTGGATCTTGGATCTCCATTAAATTGCCAAGTGAAGATCAGGGCCACTGACACTGACAGGCAGGCCCTCGCTCGCACCTGAGGTTACGCATTGATTGCGCATACGCAGCGTGCAGCGTGCAACGTGCAACGTGCAGCGTGCAGCGTTTTCCCACCAGCAAAATGTGGAAACAATTTTTAATAATTGACAATTAAACTAACAATAATTGACAATAAATATTTAAGGCTGTGGCTGTGGCTGTGACTCCTCGACTGCTGTTGCTGCCTCAGCAATTAATGGCGCCTTTTAGCCATATAAAGCAAGGGTACTAGCCAGCGTCTGAGCCTCAATTGACTCATAGTTCAAGCCTGAGTTCCCGCCACAGTTTGGGCCCCGACTCCACCATTCAAGCCTCCACTCCTGCCTCCATTTAGGCCTCCGCTTTAGCCTTAGTTAAGGCCTCAATCGAATCACAGCTCGAGCCTCATTTCTATGTCAAAACGTCAAACGGCGGCCCATTGATGCTGGCGACAGTGTGAGAACTTTTCCACTGGCTTTGTTGGGGCCTTAAAATAAAATATAACTCAATTAGCGGGGAGTTTCGAAACCGATAAATCAATCAAACGCTAAAACACTGAGCAATAATCGAGAGCAGATCCCAGAGAGGGAGATTCCAGAGAGGGAGAGATCCCAGCCAGCAGCCACCCCGCTGCTTTGGCACCTGGGGGCTGCGGGGGGCTGCTGCTGCTACTCCACTGATGATTTGCGTGTTGCATGGCCATTTCTCAGAGCCAACATCCGGTGCTTATAGATGGTGGCAAAAACTCTCTTCTGCTGCAACTTTTGGCCGGAGCCCCTACTCCCGCCTTGGTACGCCAGAGATCCCACTCTTTATCCATCGCCTACTCCTACTCCTGCTTCAGCTCCAGCTCCAGCTCCAGCTCCAGCTCCGTCGTCATCTCCTACTCCTTCCTCTTCTACAGATCCCCCTTTTTATGCTCCCACTCCTGCGCCACTCTGCTCCGCTCCAGTCCGCTCTCCTTCTTAAGATCTCTTTCAAAACTTAATTGAAACATTTTTGCGTAAGCGGTCAGACAGGCCTCCTCCTGCTGCTGCTCCTCCTGTGACATGGCACCTCACCCACGCACCATTTTGTTGCAAGAGACTCCTGTCCCAGGCTGAGGCCCATTCCGCGCTGCAATGCTTTTGCCTTGTCACAAATTGAAAGCTACAAGCGGCAGAGTACACGATTTATGTGGGCCGAATGATCGGACGGGGAGGATACTATCAAAGGGAGGGTGGGGTGAAAGTATGGATGCACCGATGCACCGATGCACCGCTGCACCGCTGCACCATGGTGCATGCCGAGCTGCATTCATTGCTTTTTGGTTAATCCCCAGGCTGAGAGGCAACATGGCCATGAACGCCGCCAGTTTTATGGCATTTTAATGGTCACTTAATTTTGTTTATGTTTAATGGGCGCGCCTTCTGGCAGCTGCCTGCCCCGATCCCCCGATCCCCCGATCCCCTGCGCCCCAAACCCCCGTCAGCCCCCCAATCGAAGACTGGCGATTGGAGACTGGACTCCTATTGATTGCCGATTAACCGCAAACGATCCAATGGATACGCCGCCATTGTTTTGCCAAATTGCAGCATAATTTCCAGAATATTTTTGGCCAAAAGTTGGCGCTGTGAAATTTTAATCAGCCTTTCCGCGAAAGAGTTGTTCCTCTTTCCCACAGCCTCCCAATCTCAATGGCCACAATCTATGGCTTGAATTAACAAAATCATAAAGCAAATAGTACGACCATATAGTAGACGCTTGTGGCATGCCACAGAGATGCAAAGAGAGTCGGAGAGAGAGAGAGAGAGAGCGAGAACACCTCTAATGATGATGAGCGCATCGCTTTTTCAAGCAAATTGCAGCCACATTTCCTTTGTCGGCAATGGCACTGGCAGCACCTCTCCTTCCTGGGGTTCTGTTCTCCTGATTCTCCTGGTCTTTTGGCCATTGTCCATGGTGCTCCCTCTCGCTCCTGCACTGCCTCCTGCTCTCCTGGCCATAATGATTTATTGACCGCAATTCTAGAGACATTTTATTGCATTTTAATTAGTGTAATTTCAATGTTTGCCGCTGCCACAGCCACAGCCACAGCCACAACTTTTGATAGAACTCCCAGAAAAGAGACTTGGCCCTCTCGGAAGGAGGGGACTGGGACTGGGACTGGGACTGGGACTTCCTCGATCTCTAAGCCTGCCCCAAAATGCTCATTAAATTTGATTTAAACGCCTGTCACTCTTTCTGCCACACCCACATGGCATCTATGCCCCATGCCCCATGCCATAGTTCGCGTGTCGTCGCTCAAAAACCGTCGCCCACAAACAGTTCATAAATCCACAAGATTTAATAACTCATAAATGCATGTAAATGCAACAGCAACAGCAACAACAACAGCAACAATCACCGTAGTATAATGTGCCACATATTTTGAATGTCGCATAAAGAGCACCACAGACCCCAACACACACACACACACACACACACACAGACACAGACAGACACTCCACAGGCACACAGAGTTGAGCGTTTTCAAGTGCGGTTGTTTCGAATCACGGGCTCCTGATTTTCCGTTTTCAGCATCCGCGCTGCGCGTGTTACCTGGAAGAAAAACTGTTGAGAGCAGGTTGCTGTCGCACCGGTACGTACTGCGTATAAAAACCGGCCCCACCGGCATCCCGCTCTGTTGCAGGGGCACAATCAGTGCGCTCCATCCAGCAGGGGAAGGGGGGGTGAACCCTTGTTTTGGCGCCTTCCACTTCCACTTTCCACATTGTTGGTGGAGGGGAAAAAAGGAATTCTCACTCAACTTTTCTTCTTTCTTCTTCTTCTCGTCCGGAGCTTCACACACAGCAGCTGACTGCGCCGCCAGACAGGTGATCGCGTAGAGTTGCCACACGGACGGTGTTGCCAGACAGCCCCGATCTACCCAGGGCTGCCAGAGTGTTGGAAAGAGCTGGATTTGCGCGCCAACGGAGGGAGATTTCAAGTTCGAAATTCAAATACTAAAGTAATCAACGGAATGGAGGAGGAGGAAAAGCTCGCCTTCAGGAAGGGTAGCATGCTCGCCCGATCGCCGGCACCCGAGCCATCTCCATCTCCAGCAGCAGCGGCGCAGAGTCGGGACCTTGACTCTAGGGAGACCCCCAAGAGGGTTCGGGACGCAGCCAGCCCGGGAAGTTCCCAGAGGCAAACGCCGCCCAAGAAGAGCAAGGCCCACCAGGAGGCCACCTGCCTTGAGAACCTCTCGGAGCTGGGAAAAATCCTTGATGAGGTTCAGACCAGGATGATGGACAAAAATACGCGTCACATCAACATGGCCACCAGAGCACTGTTCGTGCGCATGAAGGAGCTGCACTCGAACATCATCCAATCGAGCCAAGAGGCTGCAGCGGGTAGGTGCGCGCCGCAGGAAGGCTCCGACGCCCAAGGCCTGTGCCCGAAATGCTCACAGAGCACGCGGAGCGCAGACAAGGAGCAGCAGACAACGACCGTCTGGAGGAAAGATGCCGCAGCGCAAACCGAACCGTGGCGCAGACTTAGCCAGCCATCCGTGGCCGAAGGCCCATTGGGGGAGCCGGGAACCCCACCTACGCGCCCAAGGCAGCGAAAAGGAGCTATCGCAACCAAGAGGACCCTTAAAAAGGCCCCGTTGCGGCCACGCGGAGATGTGGCGACGACCAGCGCCACGAGGCAGCCCAAGAGCCCCGGAATCCCGGACAGAGAATGGAGCGTGGTGGCCAAGAGGCCGAGAGCAGCGCGCCGCGCTCGCCCAGACGCGGTCATAGTTCAGGCCCCCGGGAAGTCGTACAGCGAGGTTCTGGCAATGGTCACCAGACGGCACGACAACCAGCTTTCTGACCTGGGAAGCTGCGTCTCTAAGGTACGCCGTACCACAAACGGCAACCTTCTGCTGGAGGTTGCAAAAGACAGCGTGGAGAGTGCGGAGGGCATGAAGGCCAGCATCGCACGTGTCCTCGGCGATGGAGCGTCTGTGCGAGCAATGACGGAAGACTCGAAGGTGGTCATATTGGAGATACGGGACATCGACTCCCTCGCGACGGAGCAGGAGATCTGTGCCGCCCTAACTCGCCAATTCAACATTGACGAGGGTCGAGTAAGAGTCCGCAGTCTGCGCCGCGGATACGCGGAGTCCCAGCTGGCGGTGGTCAGCTTGCCCTTCTCCCTGGGCCAAGCGGTCCTGAAAGGCGGCAAGGTGAGGATCGGCTGGACCATATGTAGGATCCGGGAAAGAGATGGACTCCCAAGGTGCTACCGATGCCTGGAACCCGGGCATATCGCACGGAACTGCAAGAGTATAGTGGACAGGAGTGGCTGCTGCATCAAATGCGGGGAAAAAGGGCACAAAGTTGCAGAATGCAAAAAAGAGCCTGCGTGCTTCATCTGCTCAGCAGCTGGAAAGAAGGAGGTCACGCACCAGGCAGGCACTAAAAACTGCCCAGCCACGCGAAGCGGGGTCGGCAAAACCAGGTCGGCATGCAGTTGATTCAACTCAACCTGAATCACTGCAGGGCCGCACAGGATCTCCTGACGCAGACGGTGCGCGAGCTTGGCTCTGATGTGGCACTCCTCAGCGAACCACATAAGGTGGGCAGCAGCAGCGACTGGGCCACGGACCTTACTGGCAAAGCGGCCCTGTGGCTCTGTGGCGTCGACGCGCCGCAATTGAGCGACACCAGGTCGGCTGACGGATTCGTCCGAGGGTATGTAGGCGGCATATGGTTATACAGCTGCTACCTGGCACCCAGCCTCTCACTGGAGACTTTCAGCCGCATTATGGACGAGCTGAGCTGCGATCTGCGAGGACGGAACAACGTCGTAGTCGGAGGCGACTTCAACGCCTGGGCCCTGGATTGGGGGTCCTCCCGTACAAACGCCAGAGGCCGCACGGTGCTGGAGGCTTTTGCCTCTCTGGACGTCGTCCTTCTGAACGAAGGGTCCCAACAAACTTTCAGCAGGGCAGGTGTAGGGTCGATCATCGATCTCACCTATGCCAGCAGCTCGCTGGCCCGGCACGCCCGATGGAGGATCAGCGACGCATACACTGCCAGCGACCACGAGGCCATACTATGCACCCTGGGCACCCTTGCCCGATCGAGAGGTACCCCGTTCCGGCATGGGAAGGCGTACCGCCAGGACACGCTGAGGGCCCAAGTCTTCGCAAGCGCCCTTGAGGGCTACTCTGCAAACGATGCAGACGGAGCCAACGACATGGCGACCAAATTTGCGGACGCACTTGAAGGCGCCTGCGACCAGAGCATGCTACCGAGAGGGACGTTCCGGAAGCACAAGGATCCAGTTTTCTGGTGGAGCGAAGCGATCGCGGCTCTCCGTAGAACCTGCCACCGGGCCAGAAGGCTGCTCCAGCGAGCCAGAGGCACACCGCGCTTGGCCCGATGCAGCGAGTCCTACAAAGCGGCGAGGAAGGAGCTGAAGACCGCCATAAGGAACAGCAAGAGGGAATGCTTCCTTAAGCTGTGTGATGCCGCCGAAGAGGACCCCTGGGGAGGCGCGTACAGGATGGTGGTGAAGAGGCTGAACGCAGGCAGCAAAGCTCCAACAGATCCAGAGGCACTGGAGTGTATAGTCAGGGTACTGTTTCCTCGAGGACGGCAGATCCCTAGCTCCCTGCGGTTCGAGCATAGCCCAAGCGACATCTGCGAGGTTACGGAAGCCGAGGTGTTGCAGGCAGGCAGAAACCTGATACCTAGGAAGGCTCCGGGTCCGGATGCGATCCCCAACAGCGCGTTGAAGCTGGCACTTCCTCTACTCCCGAGGGAAGCTGCGGGCCTTTTCAACAAATGCCTCCAGGAGGGGACGTTCCCCGAGAGGTGGAAAAGGCAACGGCTCCTACTATTAACCAAGCCGGGCAAGCCGCCAGGGGTGGCCTCTTCCTACAGGCCCATCTGCCTTCTGGACTCCATGGGAAAAGTCTTCGAAAGGGTGATCGGTGCGAGGCTGAGCGCAGCCATCGAAGCAGCAGGCGGTCTCTCCCAGAACCAATACGGGTTCAGGAAAGGGAGGTCGACGCTGGACGCCATCTTGAGGGTCGTACAAACGGCGGAGGAAGCCATTGCTGGGACCAGGTGGAGAGGCGGAACCAAGTCCTATTGTCTGGTGGTGACACTGGACATAAGGAACGCCTTCAACTCGGCCGACTGGACCCGGACGCTGGAGGCACTGAGGTCCTTCAACATCCCGGGCTACCTACTGAATATAGCGCGCAGCTATTTCAGCAATAGGGTGCTGACAATGGACACATGTCAGGGCTCTAGGGCATACGAAGTCTCAGCCGGAGTCCCGCAGGGCTCCGTTTTGGGACCTCTGCTCTGGAACGCTATGTACGACGGGGTCCTACGGCTCCCGATGCCAGCCAACACTAACCTGGTGGGCTTCGCTGACGACGTCGCAATAGTGGCGGTAGCGAAGGAACTTGCCGCAGTGGAGGAGCTTGCCAACGTCGCCATACAAGCCGTCGAGGCGTGGCTATCCGCCGCGGGGCTGGAGCTGGCGGCCCAAAAAACGGAGGCGGTCCTGATATCCAGCCGTAAAGTGGTCGAGACCGCCAGAGTTCAGGTTGGTGGGACCGCGATCGAATCGCAGAGGTCCATCAAGTACCTTGGAGTCCTCATCGACACGCGCCTTTCCTTCAAAGAGCATCTGGAATACGTCCACACGAAGGCCGGTGGGACCGCGGGAGCGCTATCCAGGATGCTGCTAAACACCAGAGGGCCAAAGCAGGCAACGAGAAAACTGCTGACGAGCGTCGTGACGTCGCAGATGCTCTACGCCGCTCCGGTGTGGGCAGAAGCCGCGAAGGTGAGGAGCTACATGCGAGGAGTAGAGGCAACGTACAGACTGTGCGCCATTAGGATCGCGTGCTCGTTCCGGACAATCTCAGACGAAGCCGCGTTAGTCATTGCCGGGCAAGTCCCGCTCAGGGAGCTGATAAGGGAGAGGAAGGAGATCCATGATGCCATGACGGACAGTGCAGCCGAGGCACGCTCCAAAGCAGAAATTAAGGACGCCGCCAGAAGGACCAGCATAGACAGATGGCAGTCTCGTTGGGACCACTCACCCAAAGGCCGATGGACCCACACCCTCATCCCAAGCATAGCATGCTGGGTTGAAAGGAAGCACGGCCAGGTGGATTTCTACCTTACCCAGGCACTGAGCGGACATGGCTGCTTCCGCGGCTACCTCAAGCGCTTCGGCCACGAGACAGAGGACTGGTGCCCCGAGTGTGGCACAGGCATAGTGGAGGACGCTCGCCACGTCCTCTTCGACTGCCACAGGTTTGACCTCGAGCGTCAGACATTGGAGACAGTAGCAGGGTCTAGGGTCAGCACCGAGACTCTGGTGCCGCTGATGCTGGCAGACCCGAAGGTGTGGGATGCGGCCGCGGAGTTCGCCTCTAGCGTGATGCGAACGCTTAGGTCCTTGGAGAGAAGGCGGAAGGAGCAGACGGAGTAGGAGTCCACGCCACTGCGAAGCAATGCTTTGCGGCAGTACCGCAGTCCGCGGGGCCCCTAGTCCCAACACACTCTTGTCCGATAAATATAAATTGTAAATATTATAGAGCAAATAAATAAGTATATGAATATAAAAAAAAAAAAAAAAAAACACTCCACAGACGCAAAAATCATACTCATACGAGTGTATGGGGGAGGACACAACAAGAGAAACGACAACGAAGATGGGAATACACTTACGGAAGTGCCCCTCGAAGCCACAGAGGGGCACTGCTGCACGACACGTGTATAATTTTGGGAATATTCAAATGGGGCTACTCTTCAGCTTAAGATCATCTGTGGAAAGAATATTCCAT